TTTCATTGTAATTCAGTGATTAGCCTGCATGCCTGCCTTTGGAGTTTTCAGCTACCATTAGCTTTGAGTTGCAGGGGACAGAGTGAGGCTTCGGCAATGCTTTCCCGTATCCCGACAGCAGCTGGGGAAGCAGAGAGCGCACACCTGATGTGGACAGTGCTTCTCAAAGGAACTTACACGCATGATGCATGTGAGTACATGGTGAATGGCGAGGTGCTGTAGGGCAACTGTTCGTCCTCAGTTGGGAAGCGATGTTGAAGTAGACGTCTAATGCTATGTAAATGATTCATAAGTACTGTTACGATAGGCAAAGATACTGTGATTTTAAGCTTTAATTCCTGTGAGTTACAGAGGAAAAAAATTGATTCTTCCCATCAATGCAGGGTGCATGGTGCTTAGCATTTTGAATGGATGAGTCGTGTCTCATCAGAAAGATGTTTCCGATTCATGCTGCAGGGAGGAAGATGATGTGGGGTGCCTGACAGAAAGGGTCTAAGAACCCTTCTTGGAGCTGTAGGCAATGCAGCTGTTGATGTTTAGGAGTGTGGGATATGTGTGTGTTTGCACATAACATACACATAGAAGTCCAAATTTACTACTAATTTAAAAATGCTTATGTATTTAAACATTAAAGGTAACATTTACTCTATAAATATTTTTATATTTTCGTATTTTTGTAAAAATAATTTTCGTATGTACTTATACATACATACACACAAGCATGTATATAGGCTTAGCAGGCAAATAGGAATATGTCAGATATTTATTTTTGAAAAAATAATTTGAAATGTTGCTGGTTTTATTTCAAACAAAAATACAGAATTATAGCTGTCGGTACTTTTCCTTCAAAATACACTTTACTTCTGTTAATATACTTTAAACAGGTAAAGTTAGAAGCAGAATTAAACTTTACTGCTATATCTTGGTCTTAACTGCAGAGATTTAAAGTTAGGGAGAAATTTATTCTTTAGTAAAAGAGACAGTAAGCTTACTGTAGGTGCATGAACAACGACAGCTTTGCCTTGAGAAAGAAGTGCAAGTTCTTTTGATGTTTTTAAACCAGACTGTTTTAAGTAACATCTTATTTTAGCTGCTTGTATGGGACGTAGTTGTGGTCCAGGATGTGGTGGCTTCAAAAAGGAAGGAAGGAAGGAAGGGCTTGAAATAGGCCTCTCCCCCTTTGTAGCATATGCCTCTCGGGTGGAATTGGAAAGGGCAAAAGGTCTCATGTTGCAGGGTCATTTGTGTATTTCCTTCAGCCTTTGGCATGTCATGGGGCATTTGCTGTGGGATCTCAAACTACATCTTTTCTCTCATAACCTTTGCTGTCAGATTTAGTTCCTTTATTTGCTCCTTGTAGAGTTATTTTACATGACATTAAGGTTAAGTAGAAGCTTTTATTACTGGTATTTTTGATGTGTATGAATAACCTCCATTCAGAAACAAATTTGTCAACCTTTTTTAAAGTGTCTGTTGTAATTTGTGTGTGAAGGGAGGTTTTTATGGGGGGAAAATCTAGATTTAGCGCACCTTCTCCAAAAGAAATTCAAGGACTGCAATATATACCTCCGTGTATATATACAT